AATATAATAGATAATAACTTATAAATATTATCTAGTATATCACAAATGTTAAGTTATTTAAAAAGACATAAAATACATAATCAATTCCGCTTAAACTATTATATTATCTATAAATTCTTTAAATATGTAAGAATTAACTTAATTTTCGCATTATAAAATATTATATGAAATATATTTATATTATAATTAAACGCGTTTCAAAGAGAAAGCTTGCAAGTTTCGACAATATACTGCAGTGTTATAATTTTATCATACAAAAAAATAAATATGCAAAAATTGTTCAAGCTGTGTTTTACACAAGTTATGCACAAGTAAAGTCTTTCAATATGAGATGACTCTTTTTGCTTTATTGCTAACAGCTCGATTGTTCACATGCACTTTTGCACAAATAAAAATTTTAGAATCGGAGTTACATTTATCTATATTATTATTGCCTATAAGTATTATTATCTATACGTATCTTTGCACAAAAATAAAAATTTTAGGATAGTTCTACTTGCGAGAAACCATCACTTTTGAAAAATATGGCGCATAGAATGTTAATTTACAGTTAATTTATAATATCATCTCGCATGACTTTAAAAATTTTAACAGAAAGGAATATATAGATAAATGTATATACACTTTTTTAAAGAATTATTCGGTGTTTTTACTGCAATCATATTCCATGCACATGCCTGACATGGAGAAAAAAGATCACTATATATTTATATTATATTCCTACATACTTTTTCTAAAACTTTTTTTTGCTATGCAATATAAAAATGAATACTTTTTAAAAAAAATCTTAATTTATAACGAAGATATCAAATAAAATTTTGAAAGATTTTAAAGAATATTTTTCGTCATTTTTAATTTTATTTTTTTTTCTTTTGATTGAAGAATACAAAGATACAAAATCAATAAATAATTAAAAGTTTTATAACTTGATGAATTAAATATTAATATAGAAATCATTACGCTTTCTTAGTTAAACTTCTGTACATGGTTCATTTTTCTTAAGTTTTCTTTTTTGTTGGGAAAAAAAGAAAATAAACTGTGCAAGAAGTTTAGATAAAAAGAACCTTTATTCCTATATTGTACCTACTGTTGTTATCGGAATAGTTGATAATATTAAAACTGCAGTACGAGTAATGCTTCGTTGGCAATGAAGTTTCTTGGCAGAAACACAATAAAGTACAGAGTCTGACATTATTAACACAGAAGAGAAATATTATATATTATTATA